CAAAGGCCACCACCACCGCAACCACCCGTACAATCACTTCGAAAGAAGAAAATTTTAACTGCGTTACAGAAGTCAAGGCAGTGTTTGAAGGCACTGTATTTACTCATTCTCATTCTTTAGCTAATTTCACAAGTGCAAGCTCGATTTATGAGGTGGTATTACAAGAACTGAAGTAAATGTTTCAAAATCGTCATAATCCTTAAACACATCCTCAAAACCAAGCACTACCACCTTAAAAGGTTGTTGGATTAAGTTTTGAGCACTTTTAATTTGAGACGGTTTTTCTGGTCTTCTCCGGCTAGCCCTTCACGCACTTGCTTTACTTGAATTCGGCCAATCCTTCACCTCTTCTTCTTCAATAAGCGGTGGTGTAATTGGGTTCTTGTCGTGGGACTGTGGTGGTGGAGTTAATGGGTTCTTGCTGTGGCTGTGGTTGTGGTTGTGACGATAGTGTTTCAATCTCCTTTACTGGAGGAACCGTTATGATGGGTGAGATTTGATGTGTTAATGGGTGAGATCCCTTGCTCTGTTTCAATGGTGGGAGTTTGTTGTGCAGTGGTTGTTGCAGCTTTTTTACCAGTAGAGAAGGTGGCGTCGGAGTTGGGTGGGTGGAGTGGCGTCGACTGCCACTGCTATTGCTACTGCTACCGTTGGTAGTTTTGGGGTAAGGGATTGGGAAAGAAGGGGAGGATGGTGGTGGGTAGTTTTTGAATTTTTTTAAATTTAATTATTAACATATTATAATTGTGTTTTTTTTTTATTGAAAATTTGTAAAATTACAATTTTATTTTTTTAAAATTAGTCGAAATTATGTTTAAGATCAATTATTCAGTCAAACTAACAGAAATCATTCATTTGGATTCTAGGTAAGAGTTTTTGAAATGTTTGGTATCGTAGATATCACAGATGAAAGGTTTTGAAAAAATTTGCTACTAAATGAAATGTTTGGACAAAATTTGCTACTAAATAAAATGTTTGGTGCTGTGACTGCAATTTTCCCTAAAAATAAATATAAATGTGGACACAAGGTGAGAAATAAAAAAAATGTAATCCCTACTCCGCCTCGATCCCTGAAAATCCTTGATGAAGCAAGCCCTAATCCATCCCTCCCACTTCACCCCCTTTTCCAGTGGCGGATTCAACCATCAGTTTGGACACGGGTTGCAATACAAATGCACATTAGTTTATCTTTTTTTTAAAAAAGTTGACATTTGCATGGGCAGATACGGGCTGCAGTTCAGTTGAGCCCGAGTCTATATCCGCTTTAGACGATCAAGACTCGTTTGATATTGTATCTGAGATTTGTGTAATGGGCGGAAAAAGATGGTGACAAAATCCAGAGCATGAAAAGTTTTGCACGCATTGGCGGGCCCGGCAGCATACGTTTTAAATGGCTACAATTCTATTGTCTGCATACTCTGGAGCTAAATTATTTCAACCTCAAACGTTAAATTTAGCACGTGTTGCAAGGATAATGTTTCTATATTCAATGGTCTTGTTATGTCTCCAACTTTTCTTGATTAACAAATAGGTTCTCAACATTTAAAAGTTGTGGCTCCTTAATCTCAACCTAAAGTTTCTAATCATTCTACTCTTAAATAATAAAATAGTTATAATGTAAACATAGATAATCTTAACGAGGAAAAAAAATTTTGAAAACAAAAGAAATTAAATTCACCGCATCACCTTATCAGCTTCTTTCCCCACACCAAAACCCTATGGTTTCCTTGCCCCACCCTGTCCCCTATGGTTTGAACTCCCATTCCGTGTGGTTCCTCATCCCCCGTTGTCCCACATCCCCGTTGGTTCACCTCCCATCTCCCCATCCTTCACTTGGATCGGAGTGGGTATGGTGAGGAAAGGGATAGTGGGAAGGTCACATGAGAAAAAAATATTATTTTTTACAAGTAAAAACATATTGTCGCCTTTTAAATTAAAGTTACACCTTTTGATTGTAATATAGATGGAAACCGTTGATGTGGGATTAAGGTGCTACACATTATAAAGGTTTAGGACTTATTTGTACAAAATTGATAAATTGAAGCCTCCTACTCCAATTCTCCCTATACAAGGGGAAAAGGCCAAAGTGAAAGAAAGGAGCAAAAAGGCAAATTGAAAAAGGCCAGAAGCAGTTATGGCACTTGGGACCCACTCATTCATAACTTGTGGTTTACATTTGCCGTAAACATCAAAATATCTCAATTGCTTATCCACTTGCTAATGTATCCAAAAGTCGTGTATATCAAACTTTTTACAATTTATTATGATAATACTAAACAATTAAATGTCTACATCAAAGGACCCCATCTATTTTTTAGTTGAGCTCTATCTGTATGCATTGGAGAATTCTAATGTAAATTTAATATGAATATATCTTTTAAATTATTTATCAACATTTATATTAGGGCTATCCATGGGTTGGTTCGGTTCGGTTCTGAAGATACCCGAACCGACCCAAAACTTTCAGGTATTTAATAAATGGACCCGTCGGGTCCAAATATAATTATGGAACCGTTCGGGT